TTTTATCTAATATTTGGTTTACACTAGAATAACAAACTAGAGAATAGGTTTACATATATTAAGTTTATAGTATTTAGTTTTTGTATTATAAAGATTTTTTTACTTATTTTTATTTTTTATATGAATTTATGTTAGTATATATATATATATATGTATGTATATATATATATTAAAAAATAATGCTATTTACAATACCACATGGTAGAAAAAGAAAATACTGATATAAAATAAATATAAAAATTGAGGTGTAGAATAATTTAGATTGATTATATTTCGTGTTTGGCAATTGGCAACCAATAGATTTTGGATCGGAGACTGCAATCTATTGTGTTGGAAAATAGCCACAAATCAGCTGGTAATGTTGACATTACCCTTATTTTCTTCGTAGAAAATGACATCAACCTTATTTATAACTATTTTGGATTTGTATGTGAACAAATTTCAACACATAAATTCATAGATAACAAGTATGGATTTAATATGTTTTAATTAAGTTTAGTAATTAAATATGGTTATGTCTAAGTTTAGTCTATGTAGTTATTTTTTTCATTTTTAGATTCTAGTTTTTTTTAATCCCAAATGGATATCTAAAAACTTATGTGACAGCTAGAAAATGAGAAATAGAATGGAAAAAAATATATAGATATAATAGGTGATGAGAGGATAGACAAAACAAAAAATGACGAGTGCTAATGAAGTGTTTGAAAAAATAGTATGTAAAAGTATGAGTGTTCATTAGTTTGAGTCAACCAAATAAACCTAATGATATGAATTGAACTAGTTAAATTAGTTTGAATTTTTTTGTTATTCAAGTTAGATTTGAACCAAAATAATTAAAATTCGATGATGAGTGGTTTGAGATATCAAATTCACACTTTTTAGATCTAAATCAATATGAATCAAACCAACTATTTATATATTATTATTTTTATTAGTTAACATAGTAAATATTGTGTGTCATTTTGAAGCATTTCTTTGTGTTTCAATTTCAAATTCAAGGCTTCATAAATAAACATTCACAATTGAAAATTTTCAATGCTCATTCCTTTTAATTATTTTTCTTCTATTATTATAAATAGACTCGTATGATTTAATTAATCATTCATATGCTATTTTTTTTTATTATAATTTATATTATTATTTAATTGGTGTAAGTCAATTACACTCGAATTTTAATTTACATTCTTTTTATGTTAGCACTATTTATCAATTTTGAGACAAAATTATGTTTTTAACTTTTTTTAATTCATTGAATATCTAATGACTTGAATCAAACCAACTCGTTTAACATCAAGTTGATTTGATTTGGGTTTGACAAAAAAATATTTTGAAATCTAAATCAAACCTAATTAATTAAAAGTAATTAGTTTAGATTTGATTTTCTTCGAAATCTAAACAAACTCAACCCGTAAACACTCTTATCTAAAAGTCATTATATTTAACTTTTGTTAATTTGTTGATGATGTGGTAAATAAAATGACACTTCAGTTATACCATTTCAAATCAAACCACATGTTTAATGACATGGAATTTCACAGTTTGACTATAGTGATTAGACTAGTTAAAAAAGTTTTCGCATACACCATATACATATGAGTTATTGAGCGGAATAACTTTACCGAGAGTTATTTTGTAAGTTATCTTAAATCAAACATATAAAATTAAAAAAAATATATTTATAACCCCCCTCATATATATATATATATATATATATATATA